CAGTGTCCAAACAGTGCTCCCCTAAACATCAACTAAACCAAGGTGATCATCCTTGCATAAGGAGTTAAAGCTAAAGTATACACACATCACCAAATAATTGTGCTAAACAAATTCTTTATTTTTCTCTCTTGAGCTGTGTTCTCTTCCTGGGTCTTCAGGGATTTTTTTAGAGTAGCTCTTATGTTCAGTTTCTGTCATTTGGTGAATTCTCTAGACTATAAAATAAATTGGGTTTACCAGCTCTCACCAATGTTATAGAATTCTCCTTGCCCATTATAATATGAAATTAATAATGAAAAATAATAATGAGGGCATGTGGCCGTTTTGAATATACATCTTGGAGAGCTTGACTTGGTATAATGCCCATGAATTCTCTATTATCAACCCACTGCCATACTAGAAATGGTAGCACATGCAAATCGAGTTCCTACTTTCAGGGAGTTTACTTGTTTATTATTCATTTGTTTAATCATCAGATGTTTTTTGAGCACCTACTAAGTGTCAAGCACCTTGATATATATTAAGGATATTGCAATAAACAAGGCAGATATGACTGCTGCCTCCCAGAAGCTTATGCTCTAGTGAGGTTAATGGAAAAATCAGCAATTAAAATACAGCCCATATCTGTAGCCGAGGTATCATGGGCTTCATTATACAAATAGCTTTTCCCAGTGTCATGGAAGCACACCAGAAAAGCATCCTAGAAGGCTGGAAAGTATTCAGATAGTTGATAGACAGATCTATTTTTATTTACTTATTGTTCTGCTATCCTAGGGATCAAACCCAGTGCCTTCCTTGTACATGCTACACAAGCACTCTACCACTGAACCCCAACCTGGCAGGTTGTTTTTATAAATATCAACTAGGAGTCAGGCCCTGAGATAACCAAGTTAATATCTAATGGAAAGAGTTATCCAAATTTAAAAAAAAGAGGTTGGGGTAGGCAAGGAGAATGGTTTAGACAAAAGAAATAGCTTATAAGATTACTAGAAGGCAATGAAGAGTTAGTCAATGAAGTTAATGTAGAGTTAGGAGTTGTACCAGGAAGCTGGAGGAGGGGCTTGGGAGCCATGACATAGAGCATAGATTCTACCCCTAGGATGATAGGAAATGGAACTGTAGTTCTAAGGCAGGAGTGACCCAAATACATCTGGGTAAAAGACTGTTTTGATTATTGTGTTGAGATTGGCTAGAGAGGACTGTGACTGGAGTACTGACTTCTGTTTAGAAGCTGTTGGAATAGACCAGGACCCACACCATTATGATCCTGATCAAGTCAATGGAAATTGAGAGAACAAATTTCCTAAGAATGGAAAGCTCAGGACTTGGGGAGAGATTGAGCATTTACAGGTCAGATGTATTTTAAAGGGAGAGGGAGGAGTCATTCTTGGCAAACTGAGTAGAATGTGAAACCATTTATTGAGACAAAATTTCCTGAGACTAAAAACACAGGAGGAGGAAGAGGAGGAGAAGGAAGAGGAGGAGGAGGTAGGGGGAGCCAGAGTTCATGTTGTCCAGAGGGCTTGTTTTTGTTTTTTGTTTTTCCACTGGGGACTAAATCCAATGCTTTTCATGTACTAGTGCTCTACCTCTGAGCTAAACTCCCAACTCTTATTATTTTATTTTGAGACAAAGTCCCACTAAGTTGCCCAATTTAGCCTAAAACTTGTGATCCTCCCGACTCAGCCTTCCCTGTAGCTGGAGTCACTACACCTGACTCCAGGAGGCATTTTGATCAATAAATCTGAAATCTAGGAGAGAGACCAGTGATACAGATACAGATGCAATATTTAGATATTCTTTACCTGGGGATAAGAGAAGGGTGTTCTTTATTCCCTACAGGAAACAGAGAATCTCTGAACCTTTTAAAATGTTTTCCAGTGCTTGAATTTATTCTATATTTTTACTTGAGAGTTGCAGAGGAGGAGGATACAAACTGCTTTGAAAAAGTCTATAACTCAAAGGAAAATGAGGACCACAAAAGGAAAAGGAAGGGACAACCTAGGAAAGAGTGCCCAAGCAGAGTGAGCTGGCAGTGTTGGGACAGAACCCAAAGAACAACACGGGCAGAGGGCAGGCAGAAGGGGATCCTTGAACTGGGCTGGAGTTTCTAGTGAAAAAACACCAAGGGAAAGGAAGTGGTCCAGAGTCAGTTACACTGGCATCAAATACCAAGAGAAAAAGTATGCACTGGATTGTCAACATGGGTGCTCTGGACAATGAGCTGAGGTAAGTTGAACAGAGTGAGATAGAGATGAGAAAATGAAGATGGCAAAGGTAGGAAACTCAAGAGGGGAGAGGAGGTATTAAGGAAGGACCTATAGAAGACTAGGCACAAGGTACATTTTCATATACCCTCCCTATAAGATGGGTGAAGCTGTGCAATGAGCAAAATAATGATAATAATAATAATAATCCAAAAGCACAAAGAGACTTAAAGTAACAACGTAACAATTAACCAAACCAAACACACAGAAGTAATTAACAAAATCAAAAGTGTAAAGCTCTGGGTATCTACAGTGGTCAGAAAACATTTTAAGGAAGGGTAAATGGAGAATGGTGACACACACCTATAATCCCATCCACTCAAAAGGCTGAGGCAGGAGGATCACAAATCTGAGCCAGTTTAGGCAATTTAAAGAGATATCCCCATCATCTCAAAAACAAAAAACACCAACAAAAAAAATAAAGAACGAAAGAAGGCTTATAAATTGAATGGATAGTGGTCTGAATGAGTAATAAGCTTACAGAAGCTTTCAGACAGGTGAGAATGGGTGACTCATTGGAAGAAATCTGAGAAAAATAATACTAACAGTATCCATTCCCCTTTCACCTTCTGTTATTCAAATAATATTTTCTCAGTTAGTATCATGTCTTTAGAATGGAAATTGACTGTCGCTCAGAGGGTAGCTACAGGCATGAAACTATGAATGGTTATACGATATGTAACCCAATTGACAATTTCTAGTATCATTCTTGGTCTTCTTCACACATGAAACCAGCATATTCTTTGGGGTCACATTGTTCATTTCCTCATTTGGAATTTTTAACACCAGATAGGGTGCTAAGGCAGTATCAGCTGGTGTTTCTATCACTTAGGTTAAAAACATCCTCCATATTCATAAACACACCCATAAATAAAGGTGCTAATGTTGGGAAGGAGAAAGATCCTTTAATAAACAAAGTGGCACAAGTAACTGCGTGTCTGTAGGAGATTATTATAGGACTCAGCTCATAATTAAACACTGTCTATTTAACTGAATTGTTTTTCTCCTGTCTTTCTAAAAAACTGTGGAAATGTTAATCTTCAAAAGTGCTGTTTATATATCTAAGTTAAATAGGCATTGTTTAAGTGGCAACCTTCCTGTTTATTGCAGATCACAAGTATGCAGAGGGCAGAGGGTAGCTAGAACTATTAAAAATTGTAGCAGATCTTAAGGAAGCTTGGTCTTCCCAAAAGATCTGAGCAGATGGCTGCTGCTTTCAGAGCTACAACTTCTCAATAGGCAGGAGCCCAGCAGCTCTTTGCAATAGTCTTAGCCATTCCTTCTCTTCCTTACCATAAGTATAGGTCAGTGTTTCAAACAGTTCATCAGAGGCAAAACTCAGCCATTGCTATACAGACATTATAGAAACCAGTATCAGTTGCTTAGGAATTTCATTTCCCTACCTGAGAAAGAATATTCTATTACATTTCCTGGTTTACAGCATCTGCTCATAAAGAAAATGTTACTGTATTTCTTCATCATTATGAAACTTGAATTTCTATATTTTTGTTCTTATTCCTAGAAGAAGGAGGCTCATTCACTCTCTCTCTCTCTCTCTCTCTCTCTCTCTCTCTCTC